AAAAATAAATAGTGAAAGGAACCAAATAAGACATAAAAAAATAAATAAAAGTAAAAATACACATAATAAATAAATTAGAATTTGAAAATGAACAAAAAATATGGAAATGTCATAACAAATAGAAACCCAAGAATAAGCGAAAGTGTAAGAGAAAAAATGAAAATGTGAGTAGGTAAAAAAACATAAGTGAAAATTTTGAACATGATAAATATGTATGAATTGAATAATATGAATAGATGCGATCGAGAGTAGACAATGAATAAAAAGTATGAATATCGACGAAAGTGTAAAGCATAGCGAAAGTATGAAATTTAGTGATTAGATAAATTCAATAAATTCGCAAAGAAATAAAAATAAAAAATGAAACTATAACCCTTCAAGTCTGGTGTAAATTTCTATTTCCGCTGTATTGGTCAAGTCGAGTACAAAAAAATTTAGTAAATTATATACGAGGTCATCGCTCTTGTCTTCATTTACTAAATCCTCATTTACTAAATCCTCATTTGGCAAAACTATAAAATTATATTAGTATTAATATTCAAGCAGGGATATTACCATAAGTTACCGAATGCCAGATAATGATTCTATTACTAATAAGGCCAGACCCACTTTATTTTCTGATTAAAATAAGATAATTTGTAAGAAAGGGTGGGGTATTGAAAAGAAACAAATATTGATATTATATAAACACTAGTACAGTGAAACCTCTCTAGATACACCCTATCTAAACGCACAAACTCTCTAAGCGCATTCTTAAATTCTGAAACATTAATCTCTTCACGATCAACCAGTGAAGTTTTTCCATTTTCAGGAACACCAGATATAGAACCTGAAGGCACAATCATGTGAGATTCAATCATCGCTTGAGCAACCAACGCTTTGAAAGCGCATCGATAGGAAGATCGAACGTTAAACATTTCATCAATATGTCCCGAACATATCTTAACCTTCATAAGTGCGCTTTTACCTACTGTTCTCTAAATGCATATTATAAAAATTCTGTTCTCATAAGGTGCATTTGAAGAGGTCTGACTGTACCGTGATTTTATTTGCTAATTGAATGTGTATAGATTTAATAGAGGAAATTTATCCTATAGTTTTTGAAAAATTAAGATTATGTTAAACAGAGAATTAAGTTGATCTGGCCTAAATATAATTATAAAATCTCAAATACTTTTCAGCACTGCTTAACAGTATCCCATAAATTACTTTCATCACCAAATCTGAGTAATGTAAGCAGTGCAAAAAAGTCATACCCTGTGATATATTTGTTAAAATTAACAGTTCGATACAGCGAAATTTTAATTTCAACAAATGATATCTGAATTATAAATTATTGTAACCTTGAATTTCCGGCATTGGCATAGTCCAAGATTTGCTTGGATGGCTATATGAAGTGAAAGTAGGTTCTGGTTTTTTTTATAATACATTTTTTGATGATTTTTTGTATACTTTCAGGCGTGAATTTTTTCCATAGGCCGATTCTAGGTAATGACCTTGCATAAATGTACCCCGCTTCAATCTCGTTATCAGGCCAAGACCATTCATGCTAATTTCGGATTCCCGCTATTGTTCCTAGTGCCACATCGTTACTACCTGTATAATAGATATACATTTATTATTTATTTATATTATAAATACAGAAAACTATATATACGTTGATTTCGATTTGGTTCTAATTGAGCAACATGGGTCCCTGCTATATCCTTTATCACCTCTTTGATGTCTTCGCCAGAGTTTATATCATGACCAAACTTGACATATCATTTAATAGCATGTGTTATCTAGAAAATCAAAGCTGTGAAAGTTAGAATAATAACTTCAGATCTATATCATCCCTCAATTATTTCAACAAATGACGATTCTGCTGATAAAGAATTATGATTATTAATAATTAGCATACTGATATAGACAAAATTATCATGAAGAATAATGATCGAGAAATGATATGGATCCCGTAACTTCAATAATTTTTTCCTTTTTTTTTATTATTATTATTTTTTTTTACGAATTTGCGCGTGATGAGAGTCTATCAAGGTTTTAGCTTCACCAGCCTCAAGAAATAGCCATTTTCTTACAGAAACATTATACCATTCTTTCTACTTTCTTAGTATTATTATCAACTCAGTATTGTGATAATGAGGGCTGTTGTCCGAAACAATAGTAATCCATTTTGGCATTTGATTCAAGGTTTCAAGTACAGCATGAAGTGAGGATGCGATGAACCAAGCATCCTGCTTGGTATCACCACTCTAATGATCAAATGCTTGAATATCAAGTTTATTAGTTTTCGCATTTTTGGTATATACAAGCACAGAATGTAGCGTTTATCTGCATTTTCCAAAGAACTCAGGTTTAGTTTCTCGTGCACTTTGCGGAAGGATTCTCATTTTGTAATCCATGATAAACAAAGCCCCATCTGTATCAAGCTGAGCAAGTTCAACATTTAATTGTGCATTAAGATACATCTTTTGTGCATAATGTGCCATAAAGCAAATTAGTTAACTTTGATGCTCAATTAAAGATTCATGAAACTCATTATCCATATTTGTCTTTAGATCATCAAAGAAAACAAATAAATTGCTACAATTTTTGCAGATTTCAAGATGATCTAAATGGCAATTACTAAAAGCGTGTTGGAGACAATGACTAATGCATGGTGAGTGTAAAGCAACACCTGTTGATGATACTTTAAGGTTGGTGGCAAAATCTTTACACAGATATCTTCATAAATTTTGAGCTGATACATGCATATTTTTCTATTATTTCAGACAATGCCTATTTCTACCGTAAAAATTTACTGGCAACAGTAAATTTCCATGGTGGAGATAGCCGTTCCTTATCTTTGTAAAATTATATATAAGTACCAAGCTTTAAAGAGAGCAAAAAAATTGAAATATAAACTACACCTTAAGCTCATCATTTTTAATTTCAGTATTAATTAATAACTCGAGCTCTTCAAAAACTTCGTAGCCTAGTTCATTACAAGTAGTGCAAAGACTGCCAAGATTTTCTTTATACACAAACCTGCCTTCTTCCAGTCGAGTCATAAAAGTTGTGCATTGCATGCCATTGGGATATTCCTCATGAAATTTATTCCATAAAGCTTTCTTATGATCTTGAAGGTATAATATAGGTAAACCCATCGATTCATCTGTTTTGTATGATGATATATTAACATTTTCTTTGGTTATAAAAAACAATTCAAATTGATTCAACTGCTCTGTTGTTAATTTTGTATGATGAATAACTGGTTTTGTTAAAGCTGGAGCACCATATCCATTTATTTTTGCATGTTTTCGCGATTCTGAAATTGTATGATGCCCAACCTATTGCGATTAGTTTAAAATTATAGTAATTATTCAAGAATTTTTGACTATCAATAAATTTATAAAATAAATGCTGCCAAAGGAAAATAGGACTGCGAACTTTTAATCGTATTTTGTACAAACCCAATCCATCTAATTTATTAAGGATTGTGTTCAGTACAAAATATTATGAGAGCCCGAGGCCCTAGATAATACTTGAACCAAATTTGCTTTTAGCTCTGAATAATTAAAATCGTTGGCAATTATAGATAAAATTCGCCTTTTTCCATCTCTTGTTTTTTTGTTATCCACTAATGCTTGTTTAAAACATTGCCAAAAGATGCGAGTTTTATTAGGAATGTAACTTGGAGA